GCAAATAAGAATTCTCCTGGAAGTGGATAAAACCTAAGTCCATTAAATAGCCAGACTCCTTTCTATTAGATTTTCAAATGAATGAGAAATTAATGAAGAGCTCTCACCATTGCCTCGGAACGGGCATATTTATAGCCCTCTCCTGCTTGCCAAAAATAAGTCCACTTCATTTTTTCCCTGCCAGCCATCTCAGCGCCTGTCGCAGAAAATGGGACCAGGCGGTTGGTGCAAATAGGGTGTTTCCCAACAGAAAGAAAGGTTTTGGAGCCTCGGAGCCGTTTGTGAGCTTTGTCAGTTCTGGGACATTCTGCCATGGAGTGCTCCCTATGTTTATGTTTATTTGCTTACATATCAGTTATTCTCCAAGTCAGTTACACAACATGGAGTACCAAACGGCACAGTTAGGAGAGACTGGCATCGCTCCTCACGGTGCGCGCCTGCCCGCTGCGGACCTCGAGTCCGGTGCATGAGCTGAAGATGGCCCCTGGCCATCTAGATTTTTAATTTTTTTTAGAATATGTTTTTATTGATTTTAGAGAGGAAGGGAGGGGAAGAGCGAGATAGAAACGTCAATGACGAGAGAGAATCATAATCTGCTGCCTCCTGCATGCCCCGCATCTGGGGATGGAGCCTGCAACCTGGCCATGTGCCCTGACCAGGAATTGAACCATGACCCCCTGGTTCATGGGTTGACACTCAACCACTGAGCCACACTGGCCTGGCTTATTAGGGTTTTTTAAAATCATGGATCGGTAGTGAATTTTCTCTTAGGGCATTTCTGTTGTGAGATGGTTATGGGAGAGATGTCCTTTATTCTGTTAATATGGTGAGTTACCCCCATTGATTCAACTCACCTTTCTCAGCTGCATCAGCTGCATCTCGACTTGGTTTGTCTGTGGCTCAGGATTTTTTATTGCATCCTCATTTTGAGAGTGTCCTTGTCAGATTTAAATGCTCAGTAGCCCAGCCAGTGTGGCTCAGTGGTTCAGCATCGACCCTAACTGGGGATCGAACCTGCACCGTCGGCGTGTCGGGACGATGCTCTAACCAACTGATCCACCAGCCGGGGCTGAGTGGCTATTCCTCTGATGTGGTTTCTTGGCCTGTTCTCTGTCCTGTTTTGTTTCCTCCCCCAGCTTGGAGCATTTGCGTTCCCAGCCCCCTGCTTCTGCCCTTCGTACGTTGCGTCTTCCCTTGTGGCTTGTATTTCATGAACTTTCGGTCCTGTCTTGTGTGACACACTTTCCGCGGAGCCTCGGAAAACAGTATTTGGTTTTCAGCAGGGACCATGCTCTGTGGACATTTTAAACGAAGAAAAAGAAAAAAGCCTGATTCTGGTCTAGAAGCTTGTTGTGCTGCACTCCCCTCTCCTCTGTCCGCGTTATGTTTTTATCGTACGCTGTGTATGCTCCTCCCTCGGCTCTGCTCCATAGTAGCCATCTGTTCTGCAATTCGGCTGTCTCCGTCCTGCAAACCACTGCACTTCTTAGGAGGCACATGAGTTTGCTGCGCCTGGTGAACCAGGAGGTCACAGGTTCGATTCCCGGTCAGGGCACATGCCCGAGTTTCAGGCTCGATCCCCAGTAGGGGGCGTGCAGGAGGCAGCCAATCCATGTTTCTATCTCTCTGTCTCTCTATCCCTTTTCCCTTCCCCTCTCTCTAAAAGCAATAAGAACATTTTAAAAACGTAGAAATGTCATCCTGGCATAAGATTAATCAAGTAACAATGTGTGCGGATTTTAATATTAAATGGCAGGGAGTGGGACTGGATTTCTGTAAATTGTAAGTAAAATCACGCTTGGGCCCAAGGGTTCAGCATAAGCATAACAGGCGCGTCCACACTAATTTCTGTGTGAAATTTCCCAAAGCGCAGTCTGTCAGTGGCCGGGAGAATAACCGCCGTGAGTCCGGTCATTTGCTCAGAGGTGAATGGGAGAGGCAGAGAAACCCTGCATGAGCAGGGGAGCCGCTCGGATGACGGTGAACACTTCAGCAGGCCAGGACACTTCATCAGCACATGTTTACTGGCTGCTTGGCTCCTAGGAGGCAGAGCGTTAGCTAAGATTTCCTTTTTCCCACACCACCTCTCTCTGACTTGTAGGATTCAGAAAATCGGGGGTGTGGGAAGTAAAAACCAACTCATGCTTCTCAAGAAAGAAGGAGGCCCTGGTTTTTCCAACCAGATTAGGGGATGATGTTGCCAGCTTCGGGGAGCAGGAATCCTCTAGTAAAGTCAGCTCCTGCTGGCCAGTGTGGCTCAGTGGTTGAGCATTGACCCATGAAGCAGGTGGTCACGGTTCGATTCCCAGAGAGAGGGATGGAAACATCAATGATGAGAGAGAATCACTGATCGGCTGCCTCCTGCACGCCCCCTAATGGGATCGAGCCCGCAACCTGGGCATGTGCCCTGACTGGGAATCGAACCAGTGACCTCCTGGTTCATGGGTCGAGACTCAACCACTGAGCCACACTGGCCAGACACATGTCATTATTAGGTAGCCCTTTATCTGTGATGTCACTGGGATGGATCTTTGTTACTAAGGAGTGGACCCAAGGGATTTTATTGTAACCATTGAAATATCAGGTTGCTTTTCCTGTCTACCCACCAAAATAGTATGTGCAACCCCTCCCCCCCCCAGCCCGCCCGCACCTCCCAGCCTTTGCTCCCTGCTGCACACGTTTCACTTTGCTCCTCTGGAACAGGCAGCAAAGCGATTCAGTTCACACATGGTGGCTGCATAGATTCATCATCGCTTTTCTTCCCCAGAAGCCCTTGCTTCTGCACCAGGTCACTGTCAGAAACGTTAACGCCTTTCTCTGGTTCTGCAAGAAATACCAGGGACGCAGAGGAGAATTCGGGAGACAGGAAAGATGAGAGCGCCTGGGCAGGCATTTGCAATCAAGGAGATGAAATAAAGCAATTAATTGCTGAGAGACATCTAAAGAGGAGTGGGTAGTAGGCATTTCTTTGTTCGATGCATTGGAAATCTTAGCTGGTGTAGTGTTTGCCTCAAATAATTTAATTTTTTTTCTATTGGGCCTAGTAATAAAAGTATTAAGGTCATTAACATAAAGTGTTTGAAAATGTTTTTCTTTTTTAAACCACTTTGTCTTTATTACTTCAGATGCTGAACAAAAAAGCCACAAATGTCATATTCAAATCACGCTGAATTTCCTGAAAATGTGCATGTGGATAACTGCTATGGCATGGTGTACCTCTGATGTTAAAATTGATTGAAAATATATTTTTCATTCATCTCCTGAAGCAAAAAATAAACATTGAAGTTCACTTAGAAAATGACTTCCCCTGGCCAGTGTTGCCCAGTGGTTGAGCATCAACCTATGAACCAGGAGGTCAAGGTTTGATTCCCAGTCAGGGCACATGCCTGGGTTGCAGGCTTCATCCCCAGTAGGGGGCATGTGGGAGACAACCAAGTGATGTGGCTCTCTCACACCTATGTTTTTCTCTCTCTGCTCTCTGCCCCCCGCTTCTACTCTCTTAAAAAAAATCAATGGAAAAAAATGCCTCCAGTGAGGATTAACCAAAACCAAACACAAAAACCTGTTATCTTTTCTCACCCGTCTGAGTACGACAATCTGCTATCTGGGTAAAGATGCCACTGACGGACACTGATGATTTTCACAGTCACAGGGGGTAGCTTAACCTGTGGTGCTGCTTGGTAATTTAAGTGAACACCTTAGCAAGAAAAACACACACACACAAAGGAAAAAACCCGCTGAAATATCAGTTCAGTTGTTGGCAGTGGCTTTCATCTTCTTTCCCATTTCTGTGTTGTCTCTTGGTTGCTGAGTATTTTTTTTAACTCGGGGTACAACTGATCTTTCTGGGGGAGTTTTTCGCAGAATTCTCAGCTGCAGGTGTCTTTGGACTTGAGACCTAACTTTAATTTGCAAAGACATAGAAGCAGATGAATTTTCTCATTGTAAAAACAAAGTGAATGCCTCAGTGAAATATTTGCTTTTCTTAGCCGGCTTCTGCCAGTAGGATTGATGCTTGAGGGTATTTTGTTAGATCTTGTGTGGCACAGGAGGTTATTACTCAGCGTTTACCCTACTTTAGCTGGCAAACTTGCATCGGAACATAGAATATCATTTTGCGTTTAATATTGCAGTTCCAGTGCCGTTATCAGATTGCATTTTCATACTGAATTACAAACAAAAATTTCATGCTACTAACACTTAATGATATTTGTGATAAGATTGTGTTTTGATGCTATTCTTCAAATAATGTGTTTTGAATTGCTTTCCTTTGAATATATTTGCACTAAGGAGGAACTGAGTTTGATTTGGTTCTTTAAAGAGTTTACCCATTTCCTGGGTAGCTTTAAAAAAGACAGGTAAATGCGCCCAGCCTGTGTGGCTCCGTGGTTGAGCGTGGACCCATGAACCAGGAGGTCAGGGTTCTGTTCCCGGTCAGGGCACAGGCCCGGGTTGTGGGCTCGATCCCCAGTAGGGGGCGCAGGAGGCAGTTTCTTCTTTGCAAGTCAATAAGTAGAAAAGGGGCACATTTGCTAAGATCCATAGAAGTAATGGCAGACGATTACAGATCGACCGAGTTAATGAAACGACTCATGGTGGCTATTAGAGCTGCACAATTAAATATATATATACAGAGCGTACACACCATAGACTGTGAGAGATGATACCCCTGGGTTCTCTTTTCTTTCTCGTCAAACCCTAAGGCTGATATAGTAAGAATTAAGAAATTTAAGAGATTCACATTATTGCAATTCTTGATCAGTGATGCCCAAAATTAAATGGTAATCTCTTGAGAGAGTGCGTTGTTTGTAGCACCCTTCTTACTCATTTCTGCTAAAAGTGTGGTTCTTTACGTGACCAGGTGCTTTCCAAAAGATAAACTTGCACGACCAAGCAAAAACACGTCACTGAAACGAAACGTGCTTTATGGGGTGGTTTGGTCGTAGTTGTCTAACTGATGGAGTTGGATGCAAAAATATAAATACTGAAACAGCGAAAGGATGGGGCAAGTCCTGCTAGTGAGGCAAGCCTGCCTTTACCACAGCTTCCTTTTAATAGACTCTCAGTGGCTCTGGAGAAGGCAGCTGGTGGGAAATGGTTAGGAGGGTAAACTGAGCCAGGGGAGGGGGTGTCGAAGGCAAAGCAACGGGCGTCCTCTGGGGCCTTGGTGCATTTCCGTCCAGCTTCGCAATGCTTTTAGAGATGGGGGGAGGGGGGCGGAGAGAAAAAAAAGAGAGATGAGAGAGCGACATGGATTGGTTGCCTCCCGCACGGACCCCACTGGAAGCAGGGAGCAAACCTGCAAGCCCAGGTATTTGCCCTTCGGCGGGGAATCACACCTGCGACCCTCAGGTGCGCCGGCAGGTGCGCTAACTACTGACCCACACTGGTCAGGGCTATTGATTTTCTTTTTAGAGAGAGAGGAAGGGGAAAAAGAGAGAGAGAGATCGACGAGAGAACATCGGTCGGCTGCCTCCTGCACACCCTCACCAGGGATCGAGCCCGCAACCCGGGCATGTGCCTGACCGGGAATCGAACCCGCGACCTCTTGCTTCAGGGGCCCAGGCTCAACCACGGGCTTGACACCGACTTTCCGTGTCACTGTCCGGGCAGGAACTTGGCCGCACACGTGCTGAGCGTTCGGCTCCTGGGCTCCGCTTGCAGGGTTTGGAAGGGCGACCCTTTGCGCCAGCTTCACCAGTCACCGGTGCAGACGCCTGCGCGCCTGCGCGCCTGCGGACTCACGCACTGCGTCGCCTTCCTGACGCAATGCGCGCAGCCTCCACCGACGCACCGCGCAGCGTCTGTGACGCAATACGCACGCCCCCTGGCCCCGCCCAGATATCGACT